GATATTTAGGTGTCCTAATGTCATTTAGATGTCTTCCTTGCAGCTGGAATTAAGGTAGCAAAAGATTAGGATATGATAAGATAAGATAAGATAAGGTTGGATAAGGTTTGGATAAGATAAGATAATTTGGATAAGGTTTCCTTCTTTATAGCTGATTCCTTATCTTCCAAGTCTTGAATCAATTCTTCCAGATGTTAAGCACATTCCTAGCCTCTTTTAATCTTCAAAAACGTCCATCCACCTTGCTCCATGCATGTGCTATCCATTCCAAGCCCAAAACTGCTCTAAAATTCTCCAGATTGCACTTTCTTGCCAACTTTGTCATTTGAACCTGAAAACACACAAAAATAGTATAAAACACTCTAATAAGTAGAAATTAGCTATGTAAATACAAGAAAACAAGCTAACTAAGTAGTATAAATATGCTCCTATCAAATTACAAGATCAATTACATACTCAATTTAATATAAATTACAATTTGTCTAAAAAATAAGATAAATTAAATCACAATTACAGAAATCATCTCCACAAAATCACCAAATTCTATCTTCTCTCTTTTTACCACCGGTCCTTGTCCCCTTTAATCTCTATGTAAAATAGGCTTACATCGTTTTGCACTGTATATGGCTGGAACGAGACATGGTTTTTTATTTTTTATAAATTTTTAATGGGATGTAACTCTAAGCTACACAATTTGTGATCCACAACCAATGATAAATCCAAGAATATACGTGGTAACTTCACCATGAACTAGATTGAATAATGCTACACAACATGAAGCTATGACATAAATCAACTTTAGTCGAGCACCTGATGTGCGCTGCCGAGTTCTGCCTATATATGCCAACAGATGCGCGTAATGCCTGCAAGAGATGGCGACATCTGTTGGCATTGTAAAGTGTTAGAGCATTGCCACCAATACTAGCTAAATTTTTGTTATTGTAAATAGCCAAATGACTTGAATGTTAATTTGGCTATAGCTGTCACTTCCAACAATACTAGCTATTTTAGCATAAGTTAAAATATTTTAATATTATATTTTCCTAAACTTAACAACCCAAGCCTTTTTCTTCTCTTGAAGCCCACAAACAATGCAATTTTACTGTTTTTAATGTTTGGCAAAATTGAACTTTCTCTTATTCTAGCTAAATCTAGCTAGTTACTGTTCACAAACATTAAGATAACAAGTCATTTAGCTAGCCTGTTAAAGCTTTATTTTTTTGCATTTTTTTTTGTTAAAGTATTAAAAATCCTTATTTAATTAGGTTGTTGGAGATGCTCTTACCTAGTAATTAACTTGTTATAGAATCGTTTTTTTATTTTATTTTATTTTATTTTTTATTATTATTTATTTTTATGAAAATGGAAACGAAAAATATGATTTTACAATTTTAAGACCTAAGAATACGTCTAATAAATTAATTTGATAACAATGTTTTCAGATCAAATTAATCAATGAAAACGTGTCTACTATCAATGTTCTGAGGGTATTCATTCAACTCATCTCTACATGCTCATACATGCAACTACTAGGGGTGGGCACTTGGAACCGAAAACCAAAACTGAAACAAGAATCGAATTGGACTGCACCGAACGGTTTGGTTTTGCGGTTTTGAAACGGTTGCGGTTTCGAAACTGAACCGCGGCAAAGAAAACGGTTTGGTTTCGGTTTTGGGTTTTCAAAACTGCACCGAAACCAAAACGCAACATATATTGAATGTTTTTGCTGCATTGTTGCTGCTGTTTTTGCTACACTTATGGGATTCTGGACAAGTCCTTATGTCATGAGAGTGAAAATTGCTTTGGCAGAGAAGGGAGTCCATTACCTCTATTTGGAAGAAGAACATCTTCTCCATAAAAAAGTTCTTGTCCTCATTCATAACGATAAGCCCGTATGTGAATCCCTTATCATTCTTCAATACATTGATGACGTTTGGAGTGATCACAAACCTCCTCTACTCTCAGAGGATCCTTATCGGCGATCTAAAGCAAGAAAAATAGACCGTTATATGCGTAAATAGGTGTACATTTTAAATTGTACATTTTTTTCTCAAAAACCGAACCAAAACCGTTTGAAACTACATCGAACAAAACCAAACGATTTGGTTTCATTTCGGTTTTGGCTTCAAAACCGCACCGCATAAAGTTTTGGTTTCGGTTTTGGTTTCACTCGAAACCACACCGCCCCCACCCCTAGCAATTACACGTGATTTATTCTCTCATTTCGATGAGGAGATATGTAGGCAGTCATTCCTCTTCTCAATCACCCCAAACAATCCCCTATTCTTTGAAGTTCATGAAATTATGACGATTGTTCATATATGACATTCATGGAATTATGACGATTGTTCATATACCAATGGTTGTGCGCAAATTTGATTTCAACATTTGATGGTGCTGGTAGTCACTTGCGAAGCTACAGAGGGGCAAGCATGGGTGACCACCCCTCCGCTCGTCTGAAATCTCCACTGAAAGTGAGGATTCCACCTCTCTGGTCTTCTAAATCTGCGGGAATCTGGGTTCGATTTGGTTCTAGTTGTGCTACAGTGTTGCGTTGCTGCCTGAGTGTTGTCGTGCGTTATAATTATTATTATTTTTTTTTTAAATACTCAGGCCAAATGACGCGGTTTGGACTTGAGATTTAAAACAAATAATAAACAAAAGGTGCGGCTAGTGGGAGTGGGAAAGGGATCATCTCCGGATCACTTCCACCTAATCCTCCTCATCAAACAATCCAGGTCCTTGAAATTTGATCCAACGGCTAAAGGCACATGCCTACTTTAAAAGTTATAATAACTTTAGTCGTTGGATTAAATTTTAAGGGTCCGAATTATTTGATAAGGAGAATTAGGTGGAAGGGATCCGAAAATGATCATTTTCCATGAAAGCAATGCCAATCAGATTGGATTTTAGCCTTGTAGGGACCACCTGATGAAATTCCACGGGGAAAAACTATATTGGTTTTGCATAAACGTAAGGCTTAACACAATTTGTATTGTGCATTATATAATCAATTTTTTCTTCTAGTCTCATCTAAAAACAAAACAATATGAAAATATATATAAAAAAATTATTATAAAGTCAAATAGAATTTTACAAGATATTTTTATTTAAACTAGGAGAAAATATAAAATTTTGTATTTCATTTTTTATTTTTCTGTGCTAAGTGGTAAAGGTTTTCAATGAATATAAGTCTTTGGAATATATATTGAAAATTTTAACGAAACATTTTTGGTATTGTTCATTTTTACTCTAGAAAATCACTTCTAGTACTATTCACTTACAACATATTTTTGTCCTTTTGATTAAAACACAAAGTTTTCAAACCCTTGTAATTAGTTAGGGAGTTTTAACGAAACACTCTTGGTACTGTTCACACAACAAGGACATTTTTTATTTTCTTGTGCTAAGTGGTAAAATTTTATAAATATAAGTTTGTGTGCTATGAATAAAATCTTATATTTTCTATATTAGGTTAGAGTGTCAAGTTAAAGAGAAATTCTAAGTGGAATTGTTTTGTTGAAGAAATCCATTAGAAGCTAACAATGCATTACAAGATTGTTGCGGTGTCATGCCTTAAAATATATAATTAAGGACTAATCATTGTGATTTTTTACATGGGTACTACACTATGTTTGATCTTCATGGCCTAGACTTATGATGACCTTGGAGTTTCTACATAGGTACTAAACCATGTTTTCAGGGACATGAAACGTCACTGGTAATAATTCTAACTTGTTTGTATTGATAAATTATGAAAGATATTAATATTGTCTGCTATCCAAAAGGATTTCGTTGCCTACATTTTTTTTTAACCTTATACACTTTTTTTCGCCTTCCTCCAAAGCTTCATGACTTCGCCACTGGTGGTAGTGACAATGGTAGTGGTGAAACGTCTAGTTTTAAGCTCTTCTCGCCTTCTTCTCCAACTTTCCTCCTCCATTGACGCCACCTCATCCCCTCCAACCTCTCTCCTCCCTTGTCATCCTTCCTCTGCAACTCCGACCAAACCAGCACCTGACAATACTTGTGTTTTCCTTGGTGCCCTTCTAATTTCCTCTCTCACTACCACCAGCCAACGCCCCTCGCTCGAATTCATGACACCTCTATTATTGTGATATCTGAATCTAACATGAAAGTATAAACCATGAAGGCAAGAACATCCCACCCACCATCCACCGAGTTGTCTTTTTAATCTACCAGCATAGTTAGACTTACAAGGGTTGTTGAAGATATGACATAAAAATGGAGTATGCCGACATGATCTGGTGCTTTTGTGATGAAAAAGGTTAGTGTTTGGTTATGGATTGATGGAAACTGAGTGTTGGTTATCCAGTGCTCGGTTAATTTTTTTCAAGAATTTTAATTGACACATGAATTTATTTCGTTGGGCCACATACAAAAGTTAGTATATCAGGTATTCTCCCGTGAGCATCCAAATATTATTCCCACAAAAATCCAAAATTAATAGAGAAACCCCTCATGGAACACCAGGACTGTCTAAACAAATCTGTATAAACGCATGAGTGAACCACACCCGTGAACGTTTTATCAATTTTTGTTTAGCTGCACGCGAGGACCATCTAAACAATTATTGTACTGTTTTGGGTAAGCAACAATTGTTCAATATATCTGAGGTTTTGCCCAAGGCTTCTTTCTAAAATATTCAATCAAGTATGTGATTTGCTACCTAATAAGGAGATGATCCTTCGGAGATCCCCCATAAACAACCTTAGCATTATTTTCCTATATACTTAATTATTAGTTGACAATACTGTTTGAACCTAATTGGACTTTAACTTAGTATCTTAAGGTCAAGTGACGTTAAACTTGAAATCAGTTAGAGTCAATAATTGATTAAATCATATCCCTTGAAAGTAGGACAATAAGGATGTGTTTGGACCCGATTTTACACTATTAGCCCAAGTAATCTAGACCGTTGAATGAGCACAGCCCTTACACGTCTTGATGGAAAATGGATTTTTTGCGCAGGGCAGTTGTGTGTTGAATTGGAGGTCCTTATTCACGGTTCCATGGCTTTATCAGGCATGCCCATCCAAGTTTACCCAATGAAGATGCCCAGCGTTGTTTCTTGAGTTCTGAAATTGTCCCCCAATGTGATGGTGCTTGATCATTGCGTCAATGTCCATAACGTCAAGGCATACCTACCCAAAGGTGAGAGTTATTTCTTTCTTTCTAACAAATGCATTTCGGTTGAATTCATAGCCAAGTTCTTGTTCAGATACATGTATGTATATTGTAATTTAGGGTTCTTGCTAATTCTTGCTAATTGTAGAGTTCCAACATTTGGTATCAGAGCATGTATTAGCTCACCCTAAATTCAATTCTTATAATTACTATTGTCGTTGATTATATTTTGATTATGGGAACTATAATTCTTCGATTAATGTTTGTTGGTTTTCTTCTAGGTACTGTGATCACGTTTGATACAATGGTGAAAACACCAGAATCAACTTGGGCCTCTCCTTAAAAAACATGAACCCTCTGAGAACGAGACAGAGACTGGAATCGTAAAAGAATCAAGTACAGAAACCGTGACCGCGTCCATATCAAAAGGTCGCATACACCCGAACGCTCCAGGCCACGCAATCGTTAGCGGCGCAGGTCAACTATTGAAGAAGAGGGGCGGCATGTTGTGATTAATTGACTCATATAATTGAGTTGGCAACAATTAAAGACCGAAGACGAAATAGATTGGAGTGGTAGGTGTGCAAAGTAAAAGGGTTCCTGAAGCAAGTCGAAAGCAGGAAAGAAGCAGCAACGTTAATCACATAAACACATGGAATTATACATGTGTGACTTTGTGGATTAATAAAAGGAGACTCATGTGATCACTAAGGAATTGATTTTGGTTAAGGTGTTATTTATACAAGGATGATCAGTTTAAGTCCAAGTGGGAGAATGTTGGAACCTAATTGGACTTTAACTTATCATCTTAAGGTCAAGTGACGTTAAACTTGAAATCAGTTAGAGTCAATAATTGATTAAACCATATCCCTTGAAAGTAGGACAATAAGGATGACATGCCAGTAAGTGGATAGCCCTCATGTTGGAATTTTTTTTGGATGTGCCAAACTGCTTTCGTGATAGGAGGAAACAGTTAGGGTTTACATCTATAAGAGGATTGTCCCTACTCAAGAGGAATACCATCTATTTTCTGAAAATTAGCCCTATTCTAGTGAGAACATAAGGTCCCCATTGAGTAGAAGATATTTCCTTATTCACAGTTCCATGGCTTTATCAGGCATGCCCATCCAAGTCTACCCAATGAAGATGCCCAGCGTTGTTGCTTGAGTTCTGAAATTGTCCCCCAATGTAATGGTGCTTGATCATTGCGTCAATGTCCATAACGTCAAGGCATACCAACCCAAAGGTAAGAGTTATTTTTTTCTTTCTAACAAATGCATTTCGGTCGAATTCATAACCAAGTTCTTGTTCAGATACATGTATGTATATTGTAATTTAGGGTTCTTGCTAATTGTAAAGTTCCAACAAATACATGTAGTTTAACAGGTAGTGTTGCATTGTATCGATCTACTAGGACCACTTAAGCATGCATGAATTAATTTGTTATTTCGATTGACTGTTTAACGTGCTATGTTGAAATCAAATTATCTAAAACCGTATATGCTTTTTAACAAGAGAACTATATTATATATAGGTTACTAGAAATAGAAGTTACCAAACACTATGACTTACATTTTGGTTGGTAAGTTGTTTAATAACGGGACAACTGTTTTGACAATGTACCAAATTAATTGTCACAAAAGAATTACTATATCTCGGTTTGATAATAATTTGGTTTTTAAGTTTTACATTTTATGCTTGAGATATGCAATTATAATACATGAGCGAAAGGGGTGATGAAAAACAATGATAGTGAGAAAGAAGGGAAGAATATAAAAAAAATGAATAGAAACAAAATTTTGCAAGTGAAAATAATTAGAATAGTTTTTGTTGAAGATAATTTGGGACTTTGTATGAACTTATAAGGAGTTTGGTATTCTTTATATTAGCAATTGGTTTATGGTGGAACTTTACATTTCTTCATTGTATTAGAGTATTTTTTTTTTACGTGCGAAGCCCAATAGCTGCACATGCTCTACGTCATTCTATTTGTGTTGTCAGTATGTTTGACTTGAAAATTTACCACGTATAAAATGGTATGTTGAGAATGAATTTCACATCAAATTTTAAAACACTTAATCACATCAAAAATAATATTATGCTCAAAACTTGAAAGCGACGATTCACATCACATATTGTAAAGGTGTGCCGATCGAATTTATCATGGTTGAGGTAGCAAACTCCTTCCGACTCGTGACATACCAAAAATCATTACAAAATTGAATACGGGATTTAACTAATTTAGCAATAGTAGAAGATAATCAAATTTAACTTGAGAATGCATTTGTCATTTGTCAGCAATTTCATCGCATTACTACAAAAGACAAAATCTGGAAAAAGAAATAAAAATAAACAGTTGATGGAGGAAGGTGAGTCATGAATGAGGTCCTAAAATCTGACTATGCCATGACCACGACTCAGAATTGCTACTGAGTGCTTGGCCCCTTCCTTTCTAGATGTTGCCATTTTCCTGTTGCCTCCCACCACATACATGATGATGCTATGACATGCATGCATGCATGATGGGTACATATATCCATGTAGATGCATGCAGTGGCTTGTGCTTATGGTGACGTGGTGGGTCCTGAAGAGTTTGAAAAGGGTTTAGGGTTTTGTAGGTTCGATCGGGTGGGCGCTGGGTATATTGACCATCATCAGAATTATGTAGTTTAGCCCCCGGACAAGAGGGGACCTATCGGTCTCATTCCGCGTCAGCTGCACAAAGCGCCGTGTTGGAGTTTGAATTTGCACGCCAAGAGAGTGCGGGCTAATTTGTTCCATTCGGATACGTCTCTTGCATGTTCTCAAACCCTATTTCTTAGAATTTCTTAGCACGATAGAAGAATTTAATTGTTGACCTTGTTGTTACGTTTTGAATTTAGTACACTTGTGTGCAAAATCTTTAAAGAGTAAGATGTCATTCTGTGAAATAACTGGTTCAGTGGTTGTCTTACATTTTACGATAAAATCTTCTTTTGAAGTCATCTGATTAAAATATAATGCAAGAATGCAACATTTTGACTTGCTCATTCAGTGTTTGCTAAGATTTATTCACTTATAACCCGTTTCCTAATGGCCTAAGAATAGTATCAATCTAGATGATGTGGAATTTAATCTTAAGAAAACCAAAATCTATGACTTTTGGCTCTTTGTTTTTGTTTGTTTAACCTGAACCGGTTTCCTATTAGTAGTCTTCAAAAGTTTCAACCTTCAACTAAGTAGAAAACCTCTAAGACCATTAGACTTGAAAATTTAAACTTTAGTTTTCTTAATGACTCTGCATGCTCAATGAAAAGTGCGTAAAAAGTTGTTTTTGTTTGTCTCGATAGATTGTTATCGCAGTCATTTAGCTGAAACTTTTGAATACCTCAGCGCAGCCGGCATTGCCGTTGTCTTATTATATGTACACAAACAAGGTAATGAAGAAAGTCCAAACGTGAGATATATATATGTTTATAAAACAATTTACAAAGAAGATAAAGTTTCTTTGATTTTTGTGTACATCATCACTGTAGAACCCTAACATGGGGACACACCAACGTGCGCATACTTCAGCTGTTTTTGACTTTTGAATTCGATACTGCTTTTGTTTTCTCTTCTTCTTATCTATTTCTTATCTAATGGTCAAGGAAGATAATAGTTTTATTTTTTTTATTATTTTATTATTTTTTATCTTTCTGTAAAATAATAGCCAGTTCCATTCACTTGATGATAGCTTGGACCAAACGACAAGGTCTACATCAAATTACCAAACTCAACAGAGCAAATAAAAAATAAATAAATAAAAGATCAAACACACTTTAAACGGCATAATTATGCCTTACATTTTTTTTTAACTATTTAGTATTTATGACAGAAAGTAATAGTTAATAGTTGTGAGATAAAGTTCGAGCCACTGTTGAATTTCATTACAGTGTTGTATTTAGGATTGTGGCTTTTTATCATTTGTCTTCTTTTTTGGGTTTAGGGTTTCAGATGGCTACTTTTAACAACATTCTCTTTATAAAAAGGAAAAGAGAGAGAGAAAAAAAAAAAAGAAAAAAAGAAAAAAAAAAAAAAGAGGAAACAAGACATCTACCAACCCAGATTTAATTGGTAACTATTTAATTACCAATTTTGTCTTTGCAAAAAGGAAAAGAGAAAAAAAATAAGGAAACAAGACTTTTACCTACCCAGATTTATTTGATAACTAGTTAATTACTTGGTTTGCACATATGATATGAGGGTATATAGGAACACTAGCATGCTTAATGCTTTCCGCCTTATATTAAAGTCCACCAAAATTTGAAGTAAGCTGCTTCCTTGCATGCATTGATATTAATTTCTTATGACATAAAAATCGTGCCAGATTAATCATTTTCTGTAATAAAACTCGTGACGACCTCTAGATGCATCTAACGAGAGAAGCTAAGTTCGGGGAGCCAAAGTTGGTTTTAGCTTCCCATTTGCACCTTCGGGATAGAAAAATAGGGTTGTCAATTATAGGCGTTTTGCTCAATCTGACTAAGAATTAAGGCCGCAACTCAAATAAGGCACACATCCATCAAATAAATAGCCAAGGGCCATAAGCAATCAAATAATGGCCTCACGCTTGTTACAAGCCAAAGGGATGGCAGCTCAGAGATTAGCAGAGGTTCGACCAAACTGAATAAAAATGTAATGGGATAATAGTATATGTTTAGTTATTTGAAATAAGAGAAGTCAAGAATCAAGAAAAAGAAAAGGCTAGGAATCTTGTTTTACATAATGTGAAATAGCTGTGGTTATGCGCTATCCACCTATTATCTCATATTATGAAAATGAGATCACTTTTTGGAAGATCTTTGTTTAAAATATGTATTGAAATAAGTTAAATATAAATTTGAAACTACGCAATTTGGATACAAATACAATATTGAAATACAAATACAAGTAGTTGATGATATGTGAAAAAAGTTGAGGTTCCAACATAAAAACAATTGGCAATATAGGGAGTAGTAACCCAACTTACTTATAAGTCTATGAAAGGTCCCTTCTCCCATCAATGTGAGATTTATTCTTAATACCGTCCCCTCAAGTGTGGTGAATTTTCAAGCTAAATATGTGAACAACACAAACAGGGTGACGTGGAGCATGTGGGACAATCTGCTCTGATACCATAAAAAAGTCGAGGTTCCACAAAAAAACCAATCATTAAGAGTAGCTAACTTACTTATGAGTCCATGCACGGTTCCTCCTCCTATCGATGTGGGATTCATTCTCAATAATATAAACTTAATTTAATTTTAAACCAAAATATATGACTTTTGGCGTGTGCTTTTTATTGTTCAACCTTCAAATTCTTTGTTCAATTAGTCGTCGTTCAAAGTTTCAAATTTCAACTAATTAAATAGACAACACCTAGACATTAATAACAATAAGACTTGAAATTAGTTTTTCGTATGACTTTGTAGGCCTCATGAGACCCTTGTGCCTTAGCTTGCTTGATGAAAAGAGAAAGAGAAACATCGTTTTGTTTGTCTTAATTAAGCAGCCATTAGTTTCACCTGATGAATTGTTTGAAACCTTCGAATTCTTCAATTCTATATTACTGAACTGAATAGATAAACGACTTAAGATGCAGCAGCCGGCATGAGAATTGTCTTATTATACATGTAAATAAGTTAAAAAGTGCAAACATGAGATATGCCAAAAACAAGTTACACGCACAAGCAAGTTAGCGTATTTTTCAGTATACTTGTGTTGTTTTGGACATTTGAATTGTGGATAATGCATTCCTTTTATTTCTTAGTTGTTATAAGAAAAACAAAAGCTTTTTTCTCAAAAATATCCAATTGGTTTCATCCAAATGGATGATAGCATGGGAAAATTACTGGGTCATCTTAATCAAATTACCTTATAAAAAAATTAAAAATATTTGATAAAATTACGGAAGGAAAATGATGAACCTTTATGAGCCTCACACATACTCATGTTTAATGTTTAATATATAGGAAAATTAATAAAAAAATACTTTAAAACTTTGCATTTTAACAAAAAACCATCTAATAACTTTATTTAATGATAAGAACAAGAAAAAAAATAGGTTTTTTTATATTAGCACCCCACAAAATGTTGAATGCACGCCAGATTAAAATTTGGTATTAAATAACTTATTTAGCATACAATGCAATGACAATTTTGACCTTATTAGGTTTTTAAAAAAAAAATATCTAAATATACCTCAAATCACTTTTAATGCATTGTTTATCTTCTTTATGTAACATCCCACACCGCCCAGGGGAAGGGGAGTGAATCCTGTAAGCCTTATATGTATATTCTCATCTCTACCTGACACGAGGCCTTTTGGTAGCTCGTTGGCTTCGGGTTTCATTGGAAATCCAAAGTTAAGCGAGTTCGTGCGAGAGCAATCCCAGGATGGGTGACACACTGGGAAGTTTTGCTCTCATAAGTTCCCAGAAACAAAACTATGAGGGCGTGGTTGGGGCCCAAAGCAGACAATATTGTGCTATGGTAGAGTCGAGCCTAGGATGTGGTGGGGGCTTAGGCTGGGATGTGACAATTTGGTATCATAGCCAATCCTTGACCAGAAGTGTGCTGACGAGGACGTCAGGTCCTTAAGGGGGGGTGGATTGTAACATCCCACATCCCCCAAAGGAGTTAATCATGTAAGCCTTATATGTATATTCTTATCTTTACTTAGCACGATGCCTGAGCTCACTGGCTTCAAGTTCCATTAGAACTCCAAAGTTAAGTGAGTTCGTGCGAGAGCAATTCCAGGATGGGTGACACATTGGGAAGTTCTGCTCGCATGAGTTCCCAGAAACAAAACCATGAGGGCGTGGTCGGGGCCCAAAGCAGACAATATTGTGCTACGGTGGAGTCAAGCACAGGATGTGGTGGGGGCCCGGGTCGTGATGTGACACTTTAACTATCAAAACCCTTCCGACCCTCCATTGTTAAACAAAACCCTAACCAACAAAACTAAAAACATGTTGATTGAGAAAATTTATTTTTGACGAATGAAACACGAAATCAATGTTTCAGAAGCTTCACATGAGGTAAGACTTCATACTTTTTATTGTTTTAGTGATTTTGACGACATTGATAATTATTTAATTAATCTTGCTTTTGTTGCATTATTCAAGCTTCTATATTCGTATTCATCTTTTAGGGATCACATGGATTACAAAAGATTAAATACCTAAAATTACCACCAAATATTAAAAACAGACGACATGGGTTTTAATGTTGGAATTGAAAACAATCTACATATGCTTTAAATCTTAGGCAACATCTATTGTCAAAATTCTAGTCGGCATTTTTTGTCCAAATTAAAAGCTTTATAAGATTTGAAAAATGTGGGGTGTATAGAAAATTTGGGATGCATGTAAAAATGTAAGATGTATATTGAGAATGTAGGGTGTGAGGGTATTATGAGAAAGTATGTGGGGTGTATTAAAATAATTTTTAATTGAAAAAGCAAATATGAGGTGTATTAATTATGTAAGGTTTATTCAACAATTTGTGGGGTGTTAATATAATAAGCCAAAAAATAAATAAAAAAAGGGTAAATTACATTTTGCCCCTTCAAGTTTGGGTGTAATTGCAATCTCATACAATATTTTTAAAACATTTCAATCACATACATTTACTTCTATTTTATTTCAATATCGTACAACCGTTAAAAAGTCTGTTAAGTTAGCAGTTAAATGATGATGTGGCTACCAAACTTGTATAAAAACTTTAATTAAAAAGAAGATCACTACTTTTCTTTTGTATAATTAAAAACATAAAAAATAGAAAGAAAAAAAAAAGACAACTTTAATGAAAAGCTCTGATACTGGTTACTTTAAAGGAGGTATGAAATTGTAATGAAATCGAAATTTATGTATGAAATTGAAATGTTTTAAAGACGTTATATGAAGTTGCAATTAACCACAAACTTGAACGGTAAAATGTAATTTAACGAATAAAAAAAACATAACCCAAATCGCGTGCAACACCCATGCCCTTTTCTTCCTTTCTTGCTAAGGGCTGGTTTGGTATTGTTGTACTTTAAAAAAAAAAAAAACTACTTCTGCTGTGCTGTGAGAATAAAGAGCTATGAAATAAAGCAGTATTATAGTGTTTGGTAAACTTTAATTTAAAACAACTATGATTGTGTGAAATGACCAAAAATGGTATAATACTAGATGTGCCATTAATTTAATTTTCTCCATCTGCATTGAGTAGTCTTTCCCACTCCCCACTACTGAACTAGACTTTCCAAAAATCAAAAACATCTTTCTAGAAGTCTCCCCCACAACTCCAATTTTCTCTTTTTTGTTTTTTTTTGCTCCATCTTCTTTTTTATTTTCTGCTCTGTTCCTCAATCTCTCTCACCTGTCATCTGATTTGCAGTACATATATGGCCTAGTTGCTCGAGGAGTTCATTATATACATCAGGCAAGGCCAACACTCCAGGATGCTGGTTTCTTCTTCTTCTAGGACTAATCATTTTTTCTTTTTGAAACTATATAGTGTGAATTTGATCATACGAAGTAGTTTTGTGTATTTAATTTAGTGTATTTGGAATAACTGAGTTTTGGTGTCTATCTAAGCAATTTGGGTTCTCCTAATTTGCAAAAATACAAAGATCAATCGCCTGTAAGCGGTGCAATCTGGAAAATCTGCAATGCCAAAACCGAATCTGGTCCTCGCCGGAAAAGTTGGTGTTATTTCTCGACGCTATTTTGTTGGCATGGGAGTGAGAGAGGACGGACAAGAGATGGGAGGAAGGACAGAGGCATAAATAACATCCTAGGGTATGGAATTCAAGGTCAATAACGGTGATTGTTGAAGCTGGAAGTGAAAGGCGTTGTGGCGGGATCGACGAGGATGATCTCCCAATTGAAGTTGGTGACGTCTTCCAGTTGATATTATGTGTAATTATTTAATTGTTTAAGGTCATTTTGGGTGTTTAAATTTTTCATTAAAGGGCTCAGCGCCTCTTTGCAAATTAGGTTTGCGTAGAAGCTATGAAAGCAAAAAAAAGTTGGTTTTTCAAAGCTAGCTTTTGCTGCTTTGAACTTTTAGCTTTTTTTTCATCCAAAACTGTGAAAAAAAAAGCTAAAGTTGAATGTTTACCAAACACAAAAAAACTCCTAGTTGTTTTTGATACCCGTTTTTTTTTAAAATCACCTCAATACCAAACCAGTACTTAAGCTGGTTTGGTATTGTTATGCTTTGAAAAAAAACTACTTCTGCTATGCTGTGAGAATAAGCAGTTGTGAAATAAAGCAGCAGAGTGTTTGGTAAACTTTTTTGTAAAAGTGCTTTTGAAAAGAAAAAAAAGCAGTATTACAATGTTTGATAAATGTTTATGTAAAATAGATGTGAAAAAAAGTTGGTTTTTCAAAGCTGGGTTTTGCAGCTTTATGTTTTTGGCTTTTTTTTACCCAAAACTATGAAAAAAAACTGAAGCTGAATGTTGCTCAGCTTTTTTTTATAGCCATTTTTTTTCAAAATTACCTCAGTACTAAACTAGGACTTAAACCTACGACCTTCCTGAAGGTCTTTTTCTGGAAGGTTAATGTCCTCCTTTCGCAAGTGAAATATTTCGGGCCGACATCCCGTTGATCGCCGTTCATCTTCCAGAAGCATTGCTTTGTTTTCCTTTTGAAGCGAGGACTATTGTTGGATTTGTAATCACACCAGCTGTAAATCATGTTGTAACCTTTACCGTCAAGATTTAAGAGACCAATGCATGATACCAAATTTTATATTTCGTGTAGATCATTATTATCTGTTATACAAGAACTCTAAATGGGAAAATGATAGCTGGATTCCTTGAAAGAATTTTTTTGAAGTCGTCAGCCCCAAGCGGCTGGGTATGGAAAACTCATTTGAACTTAAAAATTTAATTGTTGCTGGAACCAATGTTTGGAATATGGACTTGATCAATGCCAATATCTTTGAAGAGGAAGCACGGCTGATCCGTAAGTTACTTACAACCACCTGAAGGTTTGTGTTCTAGGTAAATTTAAAATTTGTGTTTGTCGAAGTTGCATTGATGCCTTGCCCACAAGGGCAAACCTGTTAAAGAAGAGAGTTACCACGGATGCGTCGTGCATGTTTTGTGAGGGGGGTGATGAAAACAACGGAGCACATGCTACAAGATTGCCCAGGGATGGCGAGAATTTGGCTTTCGAGCCCATTGGGTATTCGAGTGCATGAAGCACGTCAGTCTGTTGGCAAGATTGGATATTGAGCTTCGCACATGCATTGGCAAAGAAATTTTTTATTGTGATGGAAACATGGGTGGTATACTAAGTTTTTTTATGTAATTGGTAGGAAATTTTATTTTTTAAGTTATTAACTTTTTAACACATAAATCCTACTATTTGTATAGTGACACGTGATGTACCACCTCGTGTGTTGGTTGCACTGAAAAATCTCTTGCATTGGCAAGGGGGAGTTTTGATGCTCATTTGGAGCATTTGGCAAGAACGTAATGCATTACTCTGGCGGGGAGTATCAAGATAACCAATGGATATTCATTGTAGCAAACAAGCTTGGCTGCATGGGTATAAAAAATGGCATGGGAAGAAAAAGGAGGCAAAACATGTTAGTATGCAGAAAAGGAGGAAACCTGAGGTTGGGTGGTTAAAATGCAACTTCGATGGGGCGTGGGAGGAGAACAGAGATTAGGAGGAGTGGGCGTGGTGTGTAGAGATGAACGGGGGGAGTTCGTGGCAGCAATGTTAGCAAAACATGATGGCATTTCCTCGCCATTAATGGCATAGATGATGGCAGCCCGTGCTGCTGTTCTGTTGGCTCGAGACTTGCAGGCCGAATCGGTGGAGCTTGAAGGTGATGCACATGTGGTTCTCGCGGTAATGCAACGAAGTATCGAGGATGATGTATCCCCTTTGGACATATGGTGAATGATGCTCGACACTTCTTGCATTGGATCCCCCACACAAGGTTGACTTTTACTAAAAGGGAAGTTAACAAGGTTCCACACAGGTTGGCAAGGTTGGGATTATTTCTGGGTGAACAAATGTTATGGTTTGAGAAACATCCTAATGTAATCACGGACCTTATGTTTGAGGATAGTATATAGCATTGTATTTTGCTTGGTGCAGGATGCTCTTTTTCTTTTCGACCGGGTTGAAATCCCTGGCAAGGAATTTATCGAGCCTTTTTAATGCACCGTAATGCATCATATCCCCTATTTGTACGTATTTGCATCTTTGTATCAATGAATGTCGTACTTGGACTCAAAAAGGAAGTCTGAAAATATTCTATTAGTGTTTTTTTTTTTTTTTTTTTTTTTGAAAGGAAAAGTTCCACAAAATTAAATGGGAGGAAACTTACAGAAAGTCATTAACAATTCAAGTCATAAACCAAATGTAGACCCTGTAAACGTGAGTTAATATTAAAAGGGCATGTAAAGATTGTGTAAATATTAGGAGTCCTTTATTAGGAAGGATATATATTTATATCCTTTATTGTTTTTTTATGGAACAAGGATTGTATGTGTATATATTTTAATTACGTAATACAAAGAAATTTAAGTCGTAAAAAATTTTTCTGTTACCGTGCTGCACTTGGCTGACCTTGTTCCGGTGTTTCTTCTGTAGTAATAAGTCAGGTTGTGTTCTAGCGGAAGTGCAGCAGTGTAGTTCTTGTTGCTGTTGTGCGATGTTGTGCCGTGTACTTTGTGGTGCTATGAAATTTGTTTTCTTTTTTCATTCTTCTGTGAGTCAAGATGACAAGTGTGGAAGATGACTCAAGATTAAAGTTGGAGGGTGGTCCTCGTACACCAACCAACAATCCAGTTTTAAACCCCGTAGTCATCCAGAGTGATGTTTCCACCGTATCAAATACTGTGAAACTCAACGGATCAAACTATCCTCTTTGGTCCAAGGTATTGTTGATGCACATTGCTGGACGTGGTAAAAAAGGGTTCGTAGCAGGGAGTATCAAGGAACCCGGCGAGGACAGTGCTGCGTACGAGACGTGAGAGATTGGGAATGTAATGGTGAAAGGGTGGTTGATCAATTCTATGGAGCCTGCTATCATGGGATTTTTCATTCACCTTCGTACGGCTAAAGAGGTATGGGAAGCAGTTGCTCGAACATATTATGATGGTTTTGATATTTCTCAAATTTATGAGTTAAAGGTGAAATCGTTTCGACTTCGTCAAGAAGATCGTCCTGTTGGTGTGTATTATGCTGACCTCAAGTTCGTTTGGCAAGAATCCAACCTGTATCTGAAGAAGAGCTAATGCAGTTTGAGCGTCTCATGTTAATAATTTACAAGAAGTGTGGTTATTGCATCACCGGCTAGACCATGCATCTTTTGGGTATTTACAACGTATGTTGCCTAGTTTATTTAGTGGAATAAGTGAATCAAACTTACATTGTGAAGTATGTATTCTTGCTAAAAGCCATCGTGTTTTGTTTCCTCCTAGTATGAATAAAAGTTCTTTTTCGTTTAACCTTGTGCATTCCGATGTTTGGGGGCCCTCTTCAGTTACCTTTTCTGGAATTAAATGGTTTGTCACATTCGTTGATGATTGCACTCGTATGACTTGGCTATGTGTGTTAAAAAATAAAAGTGATGTTGGTATGATGTTTCAATCTTTCTCTCAGATGATTCAAACGCAATATTCTTCTGTTATTAAAGTTCTCCGTTCTTACAATGGAGGTGAATATATTAAATTTGAACTATCGGAGTTTTTCCATGATCAAGGAATTCTCTATGAAACAACATGCCCTTATACACTACAACAAAACCGGGTTGCTGAGAGGAAAAATTGTCATCTTATGCAAACTGCTTGTGCCTTGCTAACTGGTGCATCTGTCCCTAAGCGTTTTTGGCCAAAAGTCGTTACCTATGCCGTGTATGTGATTAACCGTATGCCATCTCGGGTTATACGATTTCAAACACCCCTCCAAGTTCTTAGTCACCATGCTTCAGTAGTGTCTACTAACACTTTTACCCCTCGAGTGTTTGGGTGCGTTGAATATGGTCATATCTAGAAAATTCATCATAGTAAGTTGTATCAGTGTGCCCTACGGTGTGTCTTTGTGTGTTTTTAGTCACAACAAAAAGGGTATAAATGTTATCATCCTGAGATGCGACATATGTATGTAACCATAGATGTGACTTTTTCTGAATCCAAATATTTTTACACTCTAGTGCATTCAACTTCAGATCACTAGGAGGAAAGCACTAGTGGTGACTGGGGTGGCTGGACCTAAGGGAGACATGACTGTTGAAACATATACGGATGCACCTGCTACTACTATTGCTGTAACCGAAAAACCCTCGGTTGTAGGTGCTGATCATGGTATGGCAGAGCTACGGCCAACTCTTGTCGAGAACAGGGCAGAGCTTCGGCTAGCTCTTGCCGAGAATCAGAGGGAGTTTCAGTCAGCTTTTGCCTAGAGAAACAGTGCCCATACACCCTCTGTTGCTGAAACATCTTCTGCTTATTTACGGCAGAATCTTGCCGAGCCTGTTAGTGTGTTACCCTATTTCTCTAGCTCTATAGTGTCATCCAATATATCTTTTCTGAATATACCTAAGGTAAGTATTGTAGATGATTATGTAACTAATCCAAGTAATGATGTGAGTACATATAAATTGCCAGCAAGATAAAATCGAGGTGTGTCTCCTGATAGGTTTTCTCTTGAAGAAAAGGTGAAGTATCCAATAGCCAACTACGTATCATGCAATAATCTTGCACTGTAGCGTCAAGCCTTGGTGAACAATATGGAGTCTCTTCAAGTGCCAACTCGAGTGGAAAAAGCTCTAAAAGATCCAAAGTGAGAAAAAGCGATGGATGAATAAATGTTGTCGCACAGAAAAATAATACCTGGGAAGTGATGGCACTACCTAAAGGGAAAAGGACAGTTGGATGTCGGTGAGTGTTTACAATCAAATACAAGGCTGACAGAACGATAGATATGTACAAAACAAGGTTGGTGGTTAAAGGATATACCCAAACATATGGTGTAGACTACCAGGAAACTTTCTCTCCAATTGCCAAGATGAATACGGTACGTGTTCTTATTTCTTTAGCTGCAAATATGAACTAGCCATTAAAGCAGTTCAATGTGAAGAATGCTTTTCTCCATGGGAAT